GTGGGTTTGACTCCCCAGTCATCCCCCCCATCTCCATTTCAGTTTAATTTTTTAAGTTACGTGCCCCATCTTCCATTATTTTTCCTCCTGTTTTTTTTTGTTGTCATACTTTGTCGTGACTCGAGGCTTCCCTCAGGAACGGTCTCCGACTTTACGTGGCCGTCGCACATCCCCTGTGCTACGAAGACCCACGCCGTTTAACCATCGCGTCCGTGCTCACGCTCACGCACTCCTGGTGCCCAGCCTGGCTGGGTTTTCATCTTCAGGCCCTGCACAATAAGCTTACTGAACTCCGTGAGAGCACTCGATGGAGAGCAATGGCTGACGAGGCGGATGCGCATCTTGTTTCCTCACGATTTTATGCTCCGCTGCATCTGTCTTCCCAAAGACCCCATTTTATCATCCCTGTTTCCGTGGCTTTCACAGAAAGAATCCCAGCATGGCAGGGGTTGGCAGGGACCTCTGTGGGTCACCCAGCCCAACCCCCTGCCCAACCAACCCCCTGCCCAAGCAGGGTCTGCCCCAGCAGCCTGCACAGCACCGCGGCCAGGCGGGGCTGGAATATCTCCAGAGAAGGAGACTCCACAGCCTCCCTGGGCAGCCTGGGCCAGGGCTCCGTCACCCTCAGAGGGAAGAAGTTCTTCCTCCTGTTCAGCTGGAGCTTCCTCTGCTTCAGTTTGTGCCCGTTGCCCCTTGTCCTGTCGCTGGGCACCACTGAACAGAGTCTGGCCCCGTCCTCCTGACACCCACCCTGCAGATATTTAGAAGCATTTCTAATGTCCCCTCTCAGCCTTCTCCAGGCTGAACAAGCCCAGCTCCCTCAGCCTCTCCTTGTAGGAGAGATGCTCCCTGTTTGTGCCATGCACTGCTTGGAGGAAGGGCTGGCAGGTCGCACCCAGCCTGGGGCACGGCCGAGCTGAATCTCATACTTGCCTTAAATTTCAGACATGGTGAGGTTGTTGGGCATCACTGGACTCATACGACTGTTTAAGATATGCGTATGAAAGGACCTGCAACTCGCAGAAATCGCAATTCGCTGTACGCATTTAAGTCACCATGTACGCAGCTGTTTGCGTGATGGTAAAATCGCGTGTGGTAGATCAGCGTGTGTGTGACCCCGGCCGTTAGCAATACTGGAAGGGAGCACCTGAGGCAAGAGAACGATCCTTTTGCTGTGGGAAATAACATCAAACTTCCACTATGCTGCGAGGCGGGTGCCCCCCTAAAACTGCATCCGACCTCTGCTCTTCTGAGCTGCCCTCCACCAAACTACTGGGACAGCCAGGCCTGCTGAAGTATCCATGCTGAAAACTCACTTTCCAGGGAGCAACAGCGTTATACCAAACGGAATGTGCATTTACACTAGGAACAATCGCATTGTATTTTAGTTTTTGCTATGCTGAGTAATAAGGTCCCAAAGGCCCAACCGCGCTGGGGTTTGGAGACTTGTGTTGCCCACTAAGATCGTGATTCGGTACCCGGGCTGTCTCTGCACGGATTGAATTTGCCAGTTCAAGGGGGGAGCCCGGCGGGCAGCAGTAGCGGGAACGGCCCGGCGGAGGGGAGAGCTCCGCCTGGCTGAGCTCAGAGGGTTCCCTGGGGTCACCCCCTGAGGTTCCCCTGATCTGGGGTGTCGGTTCTCCTTGGCCCCCCTGCGAAGGGGAGCTGCAGGGTGGGGGGATGGCCAGGCAGAGAGAGCGGGCAGGGGATGCTGCGGGGTGAGGCCGGCCCCGTCACCTTGTTGTCCATCCAGGTGTGACAGAGCAGGGTGATGGCCCCCACTGTTCCCCTTCCCACAGAACTTTGGGGAGGGGGACCGGGCTCCCCCCCAAGGGCAATGGGAAGGAAAGGTGAGTGCCAGGCTGCAGCCCAGCCCCGGGCTCTCTCCTGGGGGTGCTGGCAGGGGAGTTGGGGTGCAGCGAAGCAGAGGGGCAGCCCCCAGGCCATGCGGCGGGGCCCGCGGGGTGGGGAGACCATGGCTTGGGGATCATGCCTGGCCGAGTGCCACCAGTCCCAGGGTCCGACGACCGTCAGTGGGAAACGATCCCTTCCAGCCCCGCGGTCCGGCTCTGCCCTTGGGCACCATCACGCCGCAGCTGCTCCAGCCCAGCCACTTCCCACACCCCAAAAGGAGCTTCTGGAGGAGCCGCTTCCTCTGGCCTTGCCCGCACCCATCCCTGACCCGACCTGCTCGTCACCTCCTCTCTGGGGAGCCCCTTCCCCAGGATCAGGCCGTCAGTGCTGATGGCTCAGGGGGTATCACCAGCTCTCTTCGTTCTCCCATGCCAGAGCCATCCGTGGCCACAGTCTTCGCCCACACGCTCAGCCCAGCTCTGCTCCCACTGGTTTGCCCCACCAGCACCTTCTACCCGTGGCCCGTCAGAGTGGCCAACTGCAGGACAGCCGGGAGGTGACACAGAGACATGGGGAGCACAGGCATGTGGCCAGGCTGTGGGAACGGGGTTCACCTCCCCCATGGGAAAGATCGCTACGTCGGGGCGAGCCCAGCCGGTCGGGCAGGCCGCACGGGGAGGGTGGGAAAGTCCCA